TTTTACTAGGCAAGCTTACTTTCAGGAGTTTGCCATAGCACTCTGAACTGTCTGCGATCCATACCACTGTTGAAATCAATACAAAGTGGTCCGTTGCTTGCAGCTGAATTAAACTGAATATTTCTGAATTATTCTTCTTTGGTTATCTTACTAATACCAGGTTGTAGCCCGGTGTCGAGGTTTTCTGTATATGTGTTGCGCTTCTTATGTGATGGATTTGTTAATTTTTTTTTTTCGCTACACTATTTATCCATTTATTTGGTCTTCCTCTCGCCTTCCTCCTGGATCTTCTGCTGCGAAAAATCACATATGCAGTTTGGGTCTGACGGCATTCTCACTAGATGGCCCAACCATTTCATTCTTTGCCAGACATGGTCTTATTCCAGCTTTCTCTATATTAGTAACCCTCTCCCTTCTTGTATTTTTAGTGACTGTGTGGAGGCAGAACATTTCCCGGGTAGTTATTTTCTATTCATTGTATTTCAGAATTTGTATTTTGAAATTTATATTTCATATTTGTATTTCAAAATTAAAAACTTTAAAAATCTTACCTAGAAATTGCTGCAGTGGCATTGAAATTTGTGAAAACATTCACATAACCAGGCTCACTTAACCAGGCTCACATAACTAGGCTCACATAACCAGGCTTTCTTACCCAGGCTCACTTAACCAGGCTCACATAACTAGGCTCACATACCAGGCTCACTTAACCAGGCTCACGTAACCAGGCTTACTTACCCAGGCTCACATAACTATGCTCACTTAACCAAGCTTACATAACTAGGCTCACTTAACCAGGCTCAGATAACCAGGCTCACTTACCCAGGCTCACATAACTAGGCTCACATAACCAGGCTTACTCACCCAGGCTCACTTAGCCAGGCTCACATAACTAGGCTTACATAACCAGGCTCTCATAACCATGTTCACATAACTAGGCTCACATAACCAGACTTACTTACCCAGGCTCACTTAACCAGGCTCTCATAACTAGGCTTAGATAACCAGGCTCACTCACCCAGGCTCACTTAGCCAGGCTCACATAACTAGGCTTACATAACCAGGCTCACATAACTAGGCTCACATAACCAGGCTCACATAACAAGGCTCACATAACCAGTCTCACCTAACCAGGCTCACATAACAAGGCTCACATAACCAGGCTCACATAACCAGGCTCAGATAACCAGGCTCACATAACCAGGCTCACATAACCAGGCTCACATAACCAGGCTCAAATAACCAAGCTTACATAACAAGGCTCAGCTAACCAGGCATACTTACCTAGGCACACATAAATCTAGTGCAGAGGTTCGTAGCCAAGAAAGTGGCGGCCAGAAGAGAGGAGCAAAAACATGAACCCTTTGTGGGTTCTGGGGCCCTATTATGGGGGGGGGGGATATACCCACTGCCTACCTAAAAGCATGTGGTAAGAGTCGACTAATTGGGAGCTTCCTTCAAAGTCGGAGTGCATCTGTCGAGGCAAGGAACCAGCAGTCAGCATACAAATGAGTCAAATCTATAAAACAGATGCACACCCAACACAGGTTATGGAACAGGACTGCAGTCCAAAAGTGGATGAACAATCAAAACTTTCCGCCAGAGTTTATAGCTGTTGACCGCAAAGGAGAGGAAGAAGACATGAAGACAAGTCCATCGGTTGGTCAGGCATATCTTGGCTGCTGCAGCATATGATTTAAAAAAAATGAAAAACAAGATAATATGATCTGGCAGATAAAGAATAAGTGCAAACACATTTATATGAATTATAAGCGCACATTTGCTGGTAAATAATATGTATCTCATGTGGGGGGAAGTGGGGAATATTTCAGGTAAGTGAAGAACAAACTACATATTATAGCAGCTAAGATAATGAATATAAATACAGTACGTCAAAATAAACAGTACACTGGCACAGTTAGAGAACCGAGGCAGATGAACTTCTTTTTCTTCCTGTCTTTTTCTTTGTCTTCTTCTTCTTTTTCAGACTTTAACCTTAGTAAGTGTGAACGAGAGAGAGGTATGGAGGTGGGAGAGGACATCCATAAAAAAAGTGCAGGTATTGGCGAAAATAATGTTAACTGTTCTATATATACTGGATACTGTGACGGCATCCACAGTGATTCACTGACTTCTTCTTTTTCTTGTTCTTCTTGTTCTTTTCTTCTTTTTCTTCTTCTTCTTCTTCTTCTTCTTTTTCTTCTTCTTCTTCTTCTTCTTCTTCTTCTTCTTCTTCTTCTTCTTTTATTTCTTCTTCTTCTTCTTCTTCTTCTTCTTCTTCTTCTTCTTCTTCTTCTTCTTCTTCTTCTTCTTCTTCTTCTTCTTCTTCTTCTTCTTATGCTTCTTCTTCTTCTTCTTCTTCTTCTTCTTCTTCTTCTTCTTCTTCTTCTTCTTCTTCTTCTTCTTCTTCTTCTTCTTCTTCTTCTTCTTCTTCTTCTTCTTCTTTGCGTTCATCAACTCTTGTGGAAAGTTCTGGTTGTTCGTCCACTTCTGGACTGCAGTCCTGTTCCAAAACCTGAGTGTTGTGTGTGCATCCATTTGACAAATCTGACATATGTGTGTGCAGACTGTTGGTCGACTTAGCACACCGGGCATACCCATAGGTGCTCCGTTTTCTGCAGCAAATATCTAAAGGTGTGGATGCTAACCGTTACAGTAGCACACTGATTATAAGCTTGTCGTTTTCTACCTCTGATACGTCAAGGGAACTGAGTGATCTCGAGGCATGGGTTCAGGTCACTGTGAAAACTGGGATTTTTCCACCGGGACTTCTAGTAATATCCCCTGGTCTCTGGGCAGTAAGATCGGACGCTCGTGTGTATTTTTCGCACGTAAATAATCCATGATATTTTTTTTTATTGCATATGTAATAACAGAATAGAGGAATAGACTTCGAGCATTGATTGGCTTTTTAACGGCACAATAGGCGGATGATCAGATGTTTGCATATGTTTGGGGTCACAAGACTTTTATGTCACCTCTCCTTTTCTACATAGAGATACGTATCAATCATCGTTCATAAACACGTAGAAACTTTGTACACACAGCAAGCGCGGTCATCAGGCGCGTCGCCATCAAGAAATTTTTTGGACTGGGGCTGGGAGGTCAGCCCCCTTATAATTTATCATGGCGGGTACTTAAGAGGCTGGGCAATAATGTTCATATGTATTTTTTATCATCATTAATAATATTACCACAGCTTTTTCTGGAAATAAAGCTGCCGGTAATCACCACAAAGTGACTAAAAAAAACCTTTGCCTGGCGGTTTTCCCGTTCAGTCCGGATTACCGACGACTACTACAATAGTTCTGGGGGGAAAAAACTGCATTAAAAAAAGTCACAGTAATGCGTACAGCTAGCTACAGGGAGGGGATAGGTGGGGAAGGAGGTGGGGGAGGGGGGTGGTAAATGATTATTGCGTGTATGTCTGAATGGCATAAAAATATATTTAAAACAATAAATTTATAAATAAATACTTAGAAAAAAAAAGCGTCTGTGCGAAGGAAGGGATGTGGCAGCTTAGCCATTTCGTAAATTGTCTAGGAAATATGGCAGAGCTCCTACCCGAAATGTAGAGGGCTCAAATAGCCGCGGAGTCCCCAGGTTCCCACACCCTTGTTGCTATTATAACTGATTAGCTATCAGGGCTGAACTGATTTAATAAAATTATATCATACGAGTTATGTCAGTAGTTAAAACTTGATGGCTTATCACTAGACATCGCTGTAAATAACTTGTCCGTGATGTTCATAACGAGCTGACTGTTGTTGATAAAGGAAAATCGATGAGACACTGAGACTGTCATATTAAATATTATACTGGTGCAATTGGTATTAATGGAGGACTAAGGACTGACTGCACATTTGTTGCTAGTTGTAGTAGTTTATACAAGGATTCTTGTTCAAACCACCTGTGTTATAATTTCGCTACATAGATTTTCACCCATTCTATTTCTGTATTTGATATTTGTGCGTATCAATTACTATTAGTTTTTCCATCTTGCATAGACTATGAATTAGAACAGCTTGCAGCATCGAATGTTGAGTTTAATCTATTTCAAGGCCCGGCTCGCTAGGTCAGTTGGTTAAACCTGACTGCGCGACGACCGGGTGACGAACTCCTTGTGGTCCGGGTTCACGCCCGGCGGTAGGCAGAAAAGTCACATTTCTCCCAGATTTACGGTACATATCATGGAATCGAGGCCAAACGGTTTCGATATCCATAGTAACAAGCCATGGTTTCTGTATGTCTAAAGAAAGAAAAAAATTTTAAGCCCAGGAAGTTAACCTGGTCACTAAATGCGCCACGAAGTCGGATGTGTCGGCCGAAAGGTGCAAATATTGCAGATTTGATACGCAGGCACAACGCATTTATGTCACTCGGACAAACGAAAAGAAGAAAAATGTTTTAGGTTTAGGTTTAGACGACGTATCAACATCATGACACAAGTTTAGTAAACCATAAGTGCTCCGTTCTACTTCTGACTCAAGTCTGAGTCCTAGAAATTTTAACACAGTGTACGAGCTCCGTAGCGCCAGCGAGGATCCTGAAAAACTTTGGGTAGATTTTTTACTCCAAATTTTGCCCGGGCAGCGCGGTTAAGCTACTCTTTTCGAATTTCCATCTGTTAAGGGATTTCTTTTATTTGCGCAACAATAAATGATTGGTGTGTGAACAGACAACTCCTGGCTATTGGAAATCACATTTCTAAAAACCTCAAGACCATTTACTTGGTTGTGGTTAGGGGTTAGGGTAGAACTGAAAACTCGTGGTTGTAATCATTAGCAGATACCAATAAGGGCGTGATGGTTGGTCCTAAAAAAGGACCGTTATGTAGAGTCGTAAGCAGTATACTTGTCAAATGTATTTATAAATAAGTGTAATTTATCCTTGGAAATATTGAAAGTTATCTGGGATGGTATTGTTCAATTTTTTTTTCTTATTTGTTGCTATTTATTTTCTGAGAACATAGGACTGGAATCAAAACTGATTTACAAAAAATGGCTATAGCTTGGAGTTTCAGGGATGTTACCATACAATTGTCTTGTCTCGTCTTGACGTGTCTTGTCGTGTCCTGCCACACGGTCAGGTACCAGCCAACGTGGGAGTCCCTCGACACACGACCACTGCCCGACTGGTACGATGAAGCCAAGTTTGGAATCTTCATTCACTGGGGTGTTTTCTCAGGCAAGTTTACTGTAGCACTTATGTGGGGCTCTGGAGCTTAGTGGGTAGTGAATGCGTTTAACAGTTTCATGACCCTTGAGTACTAGGATTCACTTTCGGCTGAGGACGATTTATTAAAGCAAAACTGTTTTCGGACAGTTGTACGAGAGTCGCACCCTGGAAGAGACTGTGGCTTCACCACACAATGTTCCTAAAGATAGCAGTGGGTACATTGCAGCCAACTTTGTTGTGGATACGTCACGTAATTGCTTTTAAAGTGCATTAATTAGTACAGTGGGGGAGGACGGGATGGTTGGGGTAGCGTATTGTTAGAATGGCAACCTGCTGGCCCGGTGATTATAGGCTCAAATCCCATCAAGCAGATTTTAGCAGGCCTAGCCACCGTTTCATGTCCGACGTAGATTGGATCTATGTTTCCTTCCAAGTCGGACTACGTCTGCCTGAGAGGCAAGAAACCTACAGTCTAAGATACAAATAAGCTTTTTCTGTAAAACGGATGTGACCGCAAAACTAAATTCCTGGAGCAAGTCTAAAGTTCAGAAGTGGATGAACAACATGAACTTTCCTCCAAGAGTTTATAGCCGGTAAACGAGAAGAAGGAGATAATCTACTTTGTTAGGTCATATCATGAGAAGGAGAATACTAGCGTACATCGTGGCCATGGGAAAGCTGTAGGAGAAAAGAGTCAGAGAGAAACCGAGAGAGAGAAGATGCTGAACAGTTTGACGTCATGGCGTTGAAGATCATCAGTGTCAGAACTGGTTGAAATTACACGGGACAAAAGGTTGTGGATGGACACGACTACCAACTCCACGCGGTTTGGACTATAGGAAGAGGACCTGACCAAGCTTTCCTGTTCTGTCTGACTGAATTGCATATCTTCACCACTTTTTAATGTGGTTCATCTAGGAAGGCTCAGATGGCTAGGTCATGCCTGGAGAATGGAGGATGTTTGAGTCCTTACGGTTATTCTCTATGGGGAATTACAGACATGTGGAAGATGTGGAGGCCGACATCTACTACAAAATAAAGACGTATACATGCGGGACATGAATGATACGGGTATCGAGGCGAATTAGTGGGAAACAAATACCATGAACCAGGTTACGTGGAAGGGGCAAATCAGGAAGGGAGTGAGAATGGAGGAAGATGTGTTTGCAGAAAAGATTAGAACTGAGAGTATGAGAAGAAAAGAAACATAACAAATACAGATGATGGCAACAGCGGTCCTGAAATCCCATGCCATAACTGTGAAAAACTTAAAGGGGGCAGGTCTTGCTAGTCACACTCGTTATCGTCATAGGCCGTGAGTCCCATGCCTCCTGATGGCACACTATAACACTATCGTCTGGAAAGACCGGAAGATGCCAACAATGCGATGTAGGACAGGACAAGGGATACTGGGTCTGAGGATTTCAGGCTGCATGGCAAGTGCAATCGCCACTGAATGTGTAGCTTTAGCATTTTTAGTTCTTGTCACAGTAAGTTTATGTAATAGTTACTTTTTATTTTTTATTTCTTGCATATCAATCGCGGCGTTGCGAGTCCGACTCGTAATTCCAACGTACCGCGATCGAAACCCAGTGCTGGCTGCGTGGATTTTCATCAGTATAGAGCGTCGCAGGTCGACCCAGCCAAAAATGGGTACCAGGATGGTTGTCCTGTAATAGTAAAGACAGCCGGCCTTCTGCTGACCACATTACCCACCTAGTGCCGATTGGTCTATACAAATATGGTAAGCTCTGTCCATATGCCTGAGGCGCCCAAGATGTGAAAAGGGATCTTTACTTACTTTTTTTTTTTAAATATCAATCTGACGGCAGTCCCAAGCTATGTGTCCGAGTGGTTTTGGTGGGACTGGCAGGGTGCTCGGGAGAAAAAAGCTGTTCACTTTATGCAAGAGAATTATCCTCCTGGCTTCACGTATGCTGATTTTGCCTCACAGTTTAAAGCTGAGTTCTTTAATGCAACACAGTGGGCCCAGCTATTCCACGAGGCAGGAGCCAGGTCAGTGGTTTGAGTTTGTATGTGTGTATATATATATATATATATATATATATATATATATATATATATATATATATATATATATATATATATATATATATATATATGTGTGTGTGTGTGTGTGTGTGTGTGTGTGTGTGTGTGTGTGTGTGTGTGTGTGTGTGTGTGTGTGTGTGCGTTTATGTTTGAGTGTGTGTTTGGATGAATGTATGTGTACGTGCATGTAAAGTGTATGCGTGTGTATATGGATGAATATATATGTGTGTGTGTGTATGCAATGATGTATTTAAACAGAGATGTGTGTGTGTGTTTGTGTATGTATCCAGCTATGAATTGAGAGGGTGCTCACATATGGACTGAGGGACTGAGAGAGTGCTCACATATGGACTGAGGGACTGAGAGAGTGCTCACATATGGACTGAGGGACTGAGAGAGTGCTCACATATGGACTGAGGGTTGAGAAGATGCTCGCCTGTTTATTGAGAAGGTACTCGCATGCGGATTAAGGAATTGAGAAGGTGATCACCTGTTTATTGAGAGGGTGCTCACATACTGATTGAGGGATTGAGTGAGTGCTCACAAATTTACTGAGGAATTAAGAAGATGTTCACATATCGATTGAGAGATTGAGAGGGTGTTCACCCATGGACTGAGAGAGAGAGAGAGAGAGAGAGAGAGAGAGAGAGAGAGAGAGAGAGAGAGAGAGAGAGAGAGAGAGAGAGAGAGAGAGAGAGAGAGCTCATTTGTTGATCGCGTGTACTAACAAATGAATTGAAGAGCTACTCACGTGTAGATAAAAGGGTGTCTTGAAAGATGTTTTATAGTTCATGTGTTTAATTGTTTTGTATATTCAGCAACATGCGTTAATATACTCATTTTGACAATTAACATCAAGTTCCTTTGTGACTTGGGACAATGTTGCGGCTGCACAAAGCACCAATAGAAATTTACAAACTGGCCACAAACTCTGGAATATTTAAATTATCTGTATACCAATTAATGTGTGTTGATGACAATAGCAGTGCCAGATACTGGCTACAGTTAGAACCATATTTCTATAATATTTAAATAGGTACATTGTGTTTGTGAGCAAGCATGTTGAGGGTTTTACAAACTGGCCATCCAAGTACTCTTGGAATTGGAACTCTCTGGATGTCGGACCAAAGAGGGACCTCGTTGGTGAGGACATTCATCATTATCCCGTTAATATTTGAGTGGTCCCACTCCCCCCCCCCCCCACCCCAAAAATAAATTTTGGATTACATCTAAATTAATGGTGTCATAACAAAAATTTAATTCTTGTTACACTGGTGAAAAGTAATCTCATTTAAATGCAATGTTTGAAGTATTCATAGCCGTAATCTACACGGTGTCCTTTATATAAGCAAACACACACACTTACACACACACAGACACACACACTTACACACACACAGACACACACACTTACACACGCACTTACACACACACACACAGACACACACACTTACACACACACACTTACACACACACTTACACACACACTTACACACACTTACACACACACTTACACACACTCAGACACACACACTTACACACACACACACAGACACACACACTTACACACACACTTACACACACACAGACACACACACTTACACACACACTTACACACACACTTACACACACACTTACACACACACTTACACACACACAGACACACACACTTACACACACACTTACACACACACTTACACACACACTTACACACACACTTACACACACACAGACACACACACTTACACACACACAGACACACACACTTACACACACACAGACACACACACTTACACACACACAGACACACACACTTACACACACACTTACACACACACTTACACACACACTTACACACACACTTACACACACACTTACACACACACACAGACACACACACTTACACACACACAGACACACACACTTAAACACACACTTACACACACACTTAAACACACACTTAAACACACACTTACACACACACTCACACACACACAGACTTACACACACACTTACACACACACTTACACACACAGACACACACACTTACACACACACAGACACACACACTTACACACACAGACACACACACTTACACACACACTTACACACACACTTACACACACACACACAGACACACACACTTACACACACACACAGACACACACACTTAAACACACACTTACACACACACTTACACACACACAGACACACACACACTTACACACACACAGACACACACACTTAAACACACACTCACACACACACTTACACACACACTTACACACACACACAGACACACACACTTACACACACACAGACACACACACTTAAACACACACTTACACACACACTTACACACACACTTACACACACAGACACACACACTTACACACACACAGACACACACACTTAAACACACACTTACACACACACTTACACACCAACAGACACACACACTTACACACACACAGACACATACACTAACACACACACTTACACACACCCAGACACACACACAGACACACGCACTTACACACACACACACAGACACACACACACTTACACACAGACACACACACTTACACACACACTTACACACACACTTACACACACTTACACACACACAGACACAGACACACGCACTTACACACACACACACACTTACACACACACTTACACACATACACTTACACACACACTTTCACACACACAGACACACACACACACAGACACAGACACTTACACACACACAAACACACACACTTACACACACACAGACACACACAACCATACATAATTCTTCTAAATTATTGTATTTATTAAATTTACCTGATTAACTTTAACTTATTTATTAAATTAATGTGTTTGTAATAGTAACTACGTTTACTTTAACTGTGTTTGATTGTATTTACCTATATTTACTAAATTATTGTATTTATCAAATGTACTACATTTATTTGAATTGTTATTACCTGTAATTAATAAATGATTGTATTTACTAAATGATTGTATTTACTAAATGATTGTATTTACTAAGTGATTGTATTTACTAAATGATTGTATTTACTAAATGATTGTATTTACTAAATGATTGTATTTACTAAATGATCGTATTTACTAAATGATTGTATTAACTAAATGATTGTATTTACTAAATGATTGTATTTACTAAATGATTGTATTTACTAAATGATTGTATTTACTAAATGATTGTATTTACCAGGTGAGTTGGCCAGTGCTATCAGAAATAATACAGACATTCGTTTTGGGCTCTATCACTGCCTGTATGAATGGTTTAACCCACTTTTCTTGCAAGATAAAGCCAATAATTTTACAACTCAGAACTTTGTTAATGTAAGTTACTACAAATGTTGGTTTAACTTACATTAGAAATAACAGACCTGTAAATTTAGAACGAGATCTTTGTAAACGAAAGTTACTACAAAGGTTTTTTTTAACCTGCGTTAGAACCTTTTTAACTTAAGCTACTACAAATATTGTTTGAATTGTGAAACAAATAAGTAGGCTAGTCATTTTACAACAAAGCGGTTTGTTAAGCATGTTGTAAAAGTCAACAAGTAAGGGGTGTTTCCTTCGAAGTCGGAATGCATCTGCCCGACAGGCAAGGAACCAACAGTCTGTACACAAATAAGCCACATCTGTAAAATAGATGTGCACGCAAAACCCAAGCTCTGCTGAACTTACTTCGAAGCATGACGACAAATCTTTTTTGACTATCTTTTTTGTTGTTGTTGTAATCAACGCTAACCTGAACGGGTTCGTTCAGCATTACTGAGATGTTGGGCACGCACTCTGACAAATGTATGTGACAAACCCATTTTTTTTTAGATTTGGGGAGAATCTGACCTTTGCTATCAAGTCGACTCAGCGTAAATGGCAGTGTCATCAGAAGTAAAGGCAGCCCACTTAGTGTGGACCACATCATCCACTGAGTTGGTGTTGATGGCAGTAGCGGAGCAAGGTCAAATGGTATCCGGTGCGGAGAATGTATTGTCACCCATATGGCAATCCAAGGTTACGTGGTACCCAGTGCGGAAAATGTTATGTAAACCTTCGCACCCACACGCACGAATATATCCATTATTTTTTTTATTTTTTTTATTTTTTTATGTAACATATTTTTGCCATTTTGTCACGCCCTCGGTAATTGCAACTGATGTAGTTCTTACGCCTCTGTCTGACGATCTAACTTGTTATGCCCAAGCTTTATTGACATCGGAAAAGATTCTTGATTTTACTTTACGTTACTTGTACATCTAACCATGTGGATGTGGAAGACCAGGAGAAACTCATTTATAACTTTATCAACACATTGACTGACTGACTTTCTAACCAACCAGGACTTTACACAAGCTATAAACACCCGATGACACAAAGTGCCACCATGTGGATGAGGATCACCGTGGAGAGGTCCCAGAAACCGCGTTCAGACAATTGGCCATACTTATGGCCGGCCTATATTGCGGCCCCTGGCAAAAGCCAGGATGGGGCTTCAAATAACAAAAAAATTACGTCCTGAAAAGGACGTAACGTATATGATAGATAACTCGACATATCAACGCATTACTTTTCTGGGAATTGTCGTCGAAGGAAAGCTTACAAGAAAAGGAAGTGACCACTTTATCTAATACGCGACTTGGATTACGTGAAGGCTAAAGCAGGGTTGGTCCGCGGGTCAGATCTAGTCCGCAGAGGGCGTCAGTGGCCCACCGATCACAACAGTTTTATTGTGCTAATCCTCTTTCGATGCTGTGGCTTGCGCCTCTAACGTCTACGATTGTTATTTTCCCAATTGTGGCCCCTGAGTGAAAAACCCAGGCATAAGGTTTCACATCCCAGTGGAAATATCTGCTATAAGACAACCTGTACTTTTGACTTTTTCCGACCCAAACAATTATTACGTAACTTGTTTTATCCAACGCAGTTTTAACTGGAAGCTAATAAAAGAGAGATTTAAATCTAAAGCAGTTGTAATCACAGACACTTGCAATTTGGAGGGGGAGGGGGCGGTGGGGGGGGGGGGGTTCACGCATCTTAAGCCTCCGCCACACCCTAACCCTCCTTCTCTTTTTTCTTACAACGTATATAATGTCTATTTTTTAAGGATTTGTTTGTACATTTCTTATTATTGTGAGTGTAGTTTCTATTCATCACATAGTAACAATTATTAATTATGAGGATTATTATTATTATTATTATTATTATTATTATTATCATTATTAATATTATTATTCGTGCAGTTAAGCAAAGCTTAAGTCTCTTAGAGCCTACCTTTTCCACTCCACCACCCCCCCCCCCCCCGTCCATAATTGTAAAGAGGCTGTGAAACTCAAAGTGCTTAAGCTAACTTATTGCTACTATTATTGCGCAGGTAAACAAGGCTTTAGTTCCCCCCACCCCCATCCTCTCCCGCCTTATTTTTTTCTCTGTGGCGGTTAGCCTTGTAATATTTACCACTAGACAGTAAGATTTAATTTCTTCAGTCCCAACCAACGTCTCATGTGTGAATGACTCAACCCATTGACTTACTTCCATTGCATTTTGCGTTCTCTTAAATTACAAATTTGGTGATAACATACTAATAAAACCTGGCTTTCCCAAGTCACCAGCCCTGTGTATATTGCCGCTTTGAAAGTGACTTACTCTCAAATTCCATCATGGTTATTTCCTCACTCCCTTCTCCTGTGAAAACTTTTGGTACTGAATGAATTAAAACCGTGTTTGCGACCGAATGGGTTCATATAATATCTTAACAAGGGACACGGGTTTAAGTATAGAATATCGGGTAATGAGTTATCTATGAACGCATCGTGAATTGTTTGTTATTGAAACAGTTCGTGTTGTTTCAGGCCAAGACAATGCCAGAACTGTACGAACTGGTGAACACCTACAGACCGGATATTATATGGTCAGATGGACCTACGGAAGCCGACGACCTCTACTGGAAGTCTAAGGATTTCATAGCCTGGTTATACAATGACAGGTACCAGCTTCTCTCCTCCCCCCCCCCCCCTTCCCACCCCACAACCACCTTTCTGTCTTTCCAGACAATAATGTTTAGCGGTGTTATTAAAAGGCAAAGGAATCACAGCCAGTTAAGGTCAGGGATAAAGTTCCTCCTTTCTATAGCACAAGGCCTGGACAGTAGTGTAGACAAGCCGACGACCAAGGCTAAGTGCCAGGTCTGCCCCTCGATAACATTACTGTTTACAAACTGTATTTCCTCTTTCTATAATAAGTCTAGTATCCTCCTCAGTGCGCTTCTCGGGACGAACCTGTTGTAGACTTGATAACAACTGAGTCAGTTTTACAGCTACTAAAGTTTTCTACATTAACTAGTAGCCAGTTTCACACCAAACCTCTGTAACAGCCTTCTTACAGCATACATGGTACGCCATATATTTTACTGGCCAGAAAGAGATGTGATTTCTATCAGAGATACGTCATTTAAGTAAATGATTTTGAGCATTTTTGATTGTATATGTCGTATTGTATATTCCCTCGTGTGGGTTCCAAGACATTATTATAGGGAAAACAAAAATATTCCCACTGCCTACACAAAAGCATGTCGTAAGAATCGACTAATTGGGAGCTTCCTTCGAAGTCGGAGTGCATCTGCCCGAGAGGCAAGAAACCAACAGTCTGCACACAAATGTGTCAAACGGATGCACACGCAACCATCAGGTTCTGGAACAGGACTGCAGTCCAGTAGTTGACGAACAACCAGAACTTTTCACCAGTTTATAGCTGGTGAACGCAAAAAAAAAAAAAAAAGTATTGTAGATTAATGTAATGTGCTGGTGAAGGTTCTCTGGCAGCAACGTTCACTTGTCGTTTGTGTCTTTTTTGAAGCTGATTAATTCTTGTTTTCATTTGGTTTGATATCTCTTCATAATACGATAGATCAAAGTGTTAATTTTATTTTCCTTTCCCTTATGGACCCCAGTAATACACAAATTCGGCATTACCTTCGAACTGTTGCGTGTTTCTGTTTAAAGAAACGCATTTCTGATTGTGTGTATATTTCAGTCCTGTGAGAGATACTGTTGTCATAAATGACAGGTGGGGTCTGGGCGATGCTTGTTATCATGGTGGATTTTATACATGCACAGACAGGTACAATCCAGGTTAGTTAACTCTTACAGTTTTTTTTTTTTTGGGTATAACATACAAGATATAAGATTCCCTATTTAATGTCAGTGACTTAGGGTGTTGGTAAGTCTATCTATCTGTCTGTCTGTCTGTCTGTCTGTCTGTCTGTCTGTCTGTCTGTCTGTCTGTCTGTCTGTCTGTCTGTCTGTCTGTCTGTCTGTCTGTCTGTCTGTCTGTCTGTCTGTCTGTCTGTCTGTCTATCTATCTATCTATCTATCTATTAATCCATCCATCCATCCATCCATCCATTCATCCATCTGCCTGCCTGCCTGCCTGTCTGTCTGTCTGTCTGTCGATCTATTTATCCATCCGCCGTCCGTCCACCCATGCATTTATTCAACTATCCTTCCATCAGTTTGTCTGCCTACCTGTCTGTCTGCCTACCTGTCTGTCTGCCTACCTACCTACCTGTCTGTCTGACTGTTTGTCTGTCGTTCTATCTCAGAGCTCTACATTAGGGGTTTAGTCTTACCATTTAAATCCTTCTAAGTAAAATTGTACAAGAGTTGTGTCGTAGAAGAGATTAGGACCTCACCAAGGATCATTCCCAAAGACAACAAGGGACTGTATCAATCCTTTATTTTGGAGACGACACATATTTTTTTTTTTTTTTTTTTTTAAAGTAGTAAAATTGTCAATTAATGCCTGCATTTAACACTCAAATAAGCCAGATACATAGAGCGGGTGTGCATTCAAAACTCAATACTAAAATCCTGAAAGAATTCCAGAGAAATTTGACTAAAAAACTCAACAAAATGGGGAAGCAGAAAAACGGGCACAAAGCAACACAACGTAACGTTTCGACCGGCCGGCCTTTTTCCAACATAAGTGAACTACACAAACGTAACAACGAGGAGATGACAGTATGTAGATCTCTAAGGGGTGACATGAGCAACGTTTAATAAAATGTGGTGTGGAATAAATTAAATAAAATAAAACAAACGATAGCTAAAAAAAATATAGTCACAAAAAATAATAAACGGTAGTATTGTTAAAAAGACATTAAGTGAAATGGTTTGCCCATTTAAAGAGAATGCCTTGTGACACCATACCATACAAAGCATACATGGAAAGAGAAGAAGGTCGTAGAGCAAGAGGTAGACCAAGAAGAATATGGAAGAATAACATCAGAGAAGCTCTACAACAGCACGATGTGCCTATGGTCGAGGCGGCCAGAAGAGCCAGAAACAGAACCTTATATCTCCCTCGACACCCACAGCGATAAAAGAGGAAGTGAAGAAGATCAAGAAGAAGAAGAAGTATTGTTAATATATAATATAATACTGGGAATAAAAGAAATAAAATGTTAATGATATATAAATGATACTGACTGATAAGAAATCGAATAATGTAATAATATGAAGAAAAAAAAATAAGAGAGAATAAAATAAAATAATTAACATTTAAAATGTCATAAGAGTAGAACTATTTAGATGAAGGTATGTTGGATATTGATACCACCTGGACTAAGACCGCCTTGGCTATGGGTGAGGAACCGAGTTTGCAGCCGGTAAAGTAGAAGAAGAAGACGAAAACCGCAAATCGATCTGTCGCCATATCTCCCGTAGCTGGAATTAGTACACTTGTTTCAGAGTTATTAACCGTTACCTATCTATAACAAAATGTATTGTGTATTGAATAGGTTATCTAGTGGAGCACAAATGGGAGAATGCCATGTCTGTAGACAGGAAATCCTGGGGCTATCGCAGAGATACAAACATCAACGATGTTCTGACAATTGAGCAGCTGATTACACAGCTGATAACTACTGTCAGGTACGGCTATATTTCTTGGCACCTTTCCGTCTTTGCAAACGATAGTGTTAAAGTGAGGAAGCATGGAACTCATAGTGTTGCGGTTTTCTGTATTTGTCTTGTGTTTCTGGGGTGGTTTATGTGATGAATTTGGCTATAGCGTTGCCAGTGTGATATCCGCAAGGGTCTGTCCAATAGTTCATTCTTTCTTGTGTAGTAGCGTTTGATTATACCACTGCCGGCTTGCTAAGCCTGTCGTGTAGCGGGGTGAGGAAAAAAAAGACTGATCTGGTTAGTGCTATTGGTGAATGGTAAAGAAAAAATCCGTCTCTGCGCAGATTTGAACCCTGACCTTCCGATCGGCAGACAAGCATCTAGCCATTAGACTACAATGGTACACTAAGGCTACATTTGAGCATGATTAATATTTGTTTAATGATCACGGTAGTTTTGCAAAACTGAATATGACAAATACTGTACAGTGAGTATATAGATATTTCTTTTAAAAAAACATCGTGACTTAAAATAGTGGATTATGCTTATAACAGAGTGAGATGAGGCAAGTGTGTGAGAAAGCCATTGAGTATAATACCAAACAGAATATTGTGTTTATAGATCAGGAAAAAGCTTTTGATAGAGTGGAAAGAAACAAACTGTGGTCTATTCTTGAGAACTACGGGGTACAAGGACAGTTACTAGAGAACATCACACAAGCCAAAGTGCAGTAAAAACACAAGAAGGCATATCAGATATGTTTACAGTCAACACAGGTGTGAGACATGGATGTGTGCTTTCTCTACTTTTATTCAACATCTATATAGACAGAATATCTAAAGAAGCAAGTAATGATACAGACAACATAGCCCTTTATAATCACGAGGAAGTACATAATCAGGAGAAGTAATCGATTCACCCACATTAAACGAACTACTGTTTGCTGACGACCAGTGCTTGTTCTACCCTGAAGAACATAGACTGCAAGACCACATTAACAGGTTAAACTCAGCATGTAGTAAATGCAACATGAAGATCAATGTAAACAAAACCGAAACAATGCAAGTTAGTAGACATTCTGCCCCACTACACATACAGCTGAATGGTTCTGCCCTGAATCAAATTAGGGAGTATAAAAATCTAGGAAGTATGATCACAGAAGATGGTAGAATTGACAGAGAAAAGAAACCAGATGTCAGAAAGCAAGTGCACTTATATACCAATTGTCACCATTATTAAGACATCCAAGCATAACTATGAGTGCAAAGAGACAGATTATTAATAGCATATTTATTCCAACATTAAGCTACTAGTGCCAAACATGGACTCTATCTAAAGCCCATTTACGCAAAATTACCACCTGCGAGATGAGGTGCCTGAGAAAGGCAGCCAACCTAACCATCCGAGGTCGAGTGAATAATGAAACTATCAAGGAAAATTGTGGGAACAACACCTTGTACTAGATTCATCGAGAAACAGCAGATCAAGTGGTTTGGCCATCTCGTTAGAATGCAGCAAGATCAAATACCATCACAAGCACTACATCTCAGAAGATCAACTACAAGAGCAAGAGGATGGCCGCGGAAAACATGGATCGACAACATTAAAGACACTCTACGCCTTCGCGGCATGACAATAGCCAGTGGCAGCCAACGTGCACTGGATCGCAAATTATTCCTCCCCACGGCGCTTAACGGCAGAAGTGGTTCATGATGATGATGACAGAGTGAGATACGACATCTTAATGACTGCACTGATGGAGAAGGAGGTCAATCCATGGCTGGTGAACTGGGTTGCAGCTGTCCTGTATTCACGTCGGGTCGCTCTCCGACTGGGCTCATGGACCTCTGAACCATGCACTTTGGCCCTAGGACTGCCACAGGGATCCGCCATCTCGCCTGTGCTCTTCAACGTATATACGAGCAAGATTGCAAGCCTAGAAGCACCACGATTTGGAAGGATACTGACTTTTGCGGATGATATACTTGCATATAGGCAGAGGGAAGAGAGGGACCAAACAGCTTGGGAGCTCCAAGCGACAGTAGACAAAGGGACTGAGTGGTGTACAGAAATGAGGGCTGTCGTCCACCCGGAAAAGGTGTATGTTTTGTGGTGTTCTCTGGACAACAGAATCGTTAAAACTAATGTCCCAAGTCTCACGATAGATGGTAGAGACGTCAACAGAGAGAGCAAACGGAAGTATCTAGGAATTACATTTGACAGGAGCCTGTCATTTAAGGACCATGTGGAGAGTGTTGTGACGAAATGCCAAAAAGGACTTAGTGCACTTAAGACTATGGCTGCAATTGACATAGAGCAGAGAATGCTTTTCACACTATATCAGCACCTGGTCCTGTCAGTGGTGGATTATGGCCTGGGACTGCTTACCGTCTCAAAGAGTCAGATGGACAAACTAGAGCGCATACAGAACGCGGCTTTGCGGGTCATTCTGGGTTGTACCAGAGACACCCCAGTGGTGTGTATGCGATACATCCTTGGTTTGCCGACCGTTGCAGGTAGGCACAAGGTGCTGCAGGCGAAGTCATATCTCAGGGTAGCTGCAGACACAGACCACCCTCTGCGTGAAGCTCTGGGTGCAGTTAAGGGTCAGCGGCTGATAAGAGGGATATCATGGATGGCTCAGGCAGAAGACACAATCAAACAGGTTTGCATCCTTGAGAACATTAGGCGAGGAGAGGAGTGGGTCAAAGTGCCACCTGAGCAGTCAGACTTGTGTAGAGTCATAATCACGCTGAGCGGGGAATGCAGAGACTGGTCATCAGGTGCCACAGAGGTGGAAATTCAGCAATTAATTCAAGATAATGCTCGCTCGGAGGATTTGATCATTTACACAGACGGTTCAGTGTCAAGAGGCAAAAGAAGTGCTTGGTGCTTCTTAGCAAAAGTTAATGGTCGACGTTTGATGCAGGAGAGCCTAGCATATGATACCACAACATCCAGCTTAAGAATGGAGGTGGAGGCGGTCACTGCAGCTTTCCTGGCTAGAAAACACGACACACACACACACACACACACATCGTGATTGTAACTGATTCAGAAAGCATGCTGAGGAAGATCAGAACAGGTATGCTTCGTGCAGAGTGGCATGCTTCGCTGCGGAGGACACGAGTGAGGAGTATTGCCTGGATTTTTACACCAGGTGACGCCGGTGTGTTGGGAAATGAACAGGCGGACAGACTGGCTGGCTCTGCACAACTTGGTGGAATACTGATACATGATAGGGCAGACGTGGTTAGCGCCTTGTGGGAGAGCGTGTACAATTCGGAGGAGTAGATGGATCACCACCGTCTGGTGAGATTGGTGCAGTTGGGGGTGACGAGAGGTTCTGGCAGAAGCTCGAGGCTCAGAGGAAAGGCAAGACGGATGTTTAATCAGAAAGCTACTGGCACCATTAGTATCGGAACTCTTCGCTGGCTGCTGAAGATGGGGACGGAGCGCTTAAGGAAATGCCCCGAGTGCTGTGATGTCGGATCTTGAATCAAATCAAATCAAATCAAATAGTGGATTTATTAAGTCTTTGTAACTTATTATGTCCTTCGTGTCGTCGTTGATCACCCTCATTAAGTTTAGCATTTGAAGTAAATATCTTCAATGATAAGAGAAAGTGAGATCTGAAAACAAAAGTGAGATAAACAATCTGGGGGAGGACAAGACCTGCAGGAGAGGTCAGAAATTAGGATTGCTTTGTATGAGTTGGTTCAGGGCCCATGCTCCAATGGAGACTAAAGACAAAACAAATGAAACTGTTAGCAGTCGTACTGCAGATATTGTTGAATGCTTCAGTAATGTTACCGCCGTACCGTATCTCCACAGTACTAATGGGAACTTGCTGATGAATGTAGGTCCAGGTTCTGATGGTGTCATTAAACCGATTTATCAAGAACGCCTCCTTCAGGTGGGGTCATGGCTGAAAGTCAATGGCGAAGCCATATATGGAAGTCGACCATGGACCTATCAGAATGACACTATAACAGAAGGCGTATGGTAGGTTTTTGTCTTCTTGTATACGGAAAAGTAAGTAAGTAAAAGTAAAGTACCCTTATCAACGCCTTGATGCGTATTGTGCATGTAGGACTAAACCTTTATTTTAAAGACCAATCGGCACTCGGTGGGTAATGTGGTCAACGTCACACCAGCCGTCTTTACTTCCCAGGAATTTACCTGGTACCCATTTAAGGTTGGGTTGACTTGGGAGCCAATTTAATTTTTTTTTAAACAGTCCAGCTCTGTCAGTATCTGAACCCACGACCTTTGGATCCACAGGCGAGCATCTAGCCACTTTTCCACTCTTGAAGTAAATATCTTCAAAGATAAAAGAGAGGGAGATATGAAAACAAGCGGGGAAGGGGATTAGATATGATTCATACTTGAACTGATACATGACAAGGCAGATGTGGTCAAGGCCCTTCGGGAGCAAGCAACAGGATCAGTAGAGAAAGAAGATTATTATGGCCTGGAGAGAACAAGGCACCTTGGTGTAACCAGAGGTTCTGGTCGCCTGACTACACTAAGAGGAAAAGCAAGATGAACATTTAACCAGATTGTTACCGGTACCATCAGTATTGGAACTCTGCGCTGGCTGCTGAAGATGAGGACGGAGCATGCATGGGAATGCCCCGAGTGCTAGGATGTCAATTCTTGACTCAACTCAACACAACTAAACTCCATAGCGGCTCCTATGGAAAATTAAATCAGGTTAGTTTCTAATCCTGGACAGAGCAGTCCTGATGAAGAACATGGTTTTCTGTGGCTCTGAGACCTAAAAAAAAAAAGTCAGTGCATCAGGCTTAAAACGTTTAAATGCAGTCTTGCATAGAATTTCACGAACCAACCAGGTAACATCGGAACTGAAGCACTGTTCTGTCTGCTAGAGTTGTGTGCGAGCTCTTATATGAATGTTCGGAAGTTTATGTGAATGACGTATACACACTGGAACCTACCAATCAAAACACCTTTCTTAAATGTTTGTGTATTCTAGACAAAGCATTAAGGTCTAATGTGTTCGTCAATTGTTGCTGTGCTTGTTATTCAACCTTTGCTTCGTTAATATAAATTTATGTAATCCAAGTGCCGTTTCAATGGTTAAAAATGAATTATGTCCGTATTCCAGAGTTATGGATTTCAAGCTGTACGATAGACACGGCCAATAAGACACTTTTGGGGGGGGGGGGTGCACTTGTTTCCTTAGCGAGGCGCACACGCCGTCTTTCTACTTTCTACTTTTTTCTATGAGTGCCGATCAATACATTTTATGTTACTTTATTAACAAATAACTCAGCTCAACGCAAACTCAGCCAAAGGTGAAAAAGGGCATTGAAAACTTGTATGGGTAATGGTGCTGTCTATATCGAGTGATCCTTAGCACGATGCAATCAGTGGTGTTCTAATATTTGTCCATGTGATGAATGACTGGCAAGAATCTTCTCTTGTTAGTTTATTCTCTCACATTTCTCATAAATCTGTCTATTTGTCCGTAAGATTGGTTAGTTGCGTATCCTTTACAGGACGTTGCAGAACCAACCCCAACAGCCAGTGGTTGTTGTGTGGTTTTTCTAATTTACGTCCAGTAGTTATTTCTCCGTATATGTTCCGGTATTTTTTATCTGATAACAGCCAGAAAGTGACTGCTCCTTTCTGATCTTTGTGATAATCTTCCTCTGTGCCTAGGACTGTCTGAAATATATTACCAGTTTTTGCTGACAAAGGTGTTCTCAAGTGTAAAAACTACAAACAAAGACATATAGTATGTTAAACAAAAGACCTCTTCCATATAGTGAAAGACCCATATTATTATATACCAAGTGGTACTTGATTGGTGATGGAGCACATATTGTTTACCATCTTTCCTTCCCAGGACATTTCCCGGTAGCCATTATATTTTGGATTGATCTGGAATCCCTGGTTAAAGTTTTGAATCTTATTTTAACACCCATGGCAAGCAGGCCAGCATACAAGCATGCCAGAGAGTACACTAAGATAACTTCCAACTATCCACATAAAGATGGTCAACCAATGGCAGAACGCTAAGATTTCTCGAAGCTTCCGTGATTCGTCACCTGCGCCCGGAACTCTGTATTCAGAAAGAGATGGTTCAGTATTAACGGCTGCCCTGGTAAAAACAGGCAGTCATGTTTGATCGTTGTTACAATTGTACTTCAGTTATAAAGGATTCACTTTTTTGCTTCATTTATGTAATTGTTACTGTAGTACCTGACGAGATACAGCGAAATACGCCAGACAATAAATTGTGCAGTCTATTGTTTGTGTCTTCTTTGTTCAAATATCAACAAAAGCAATATTCCGTTTGTTTTCAATTGTTATCCCACTGTGCAATCTGCATCTGATGTAGTTATTCCTGTTTTCTGCTCAGGTACACACAGAACAACAAAACACAGCCAGCAGTGATATATGCGCACCTGTTGTTCTGGCCAAGAACTAACCTGACTTTGGGTGCACCTGTACCTTCGGTAAAGACAACAGTCACTCTTATTGGATACGCGGGGTCTGCATTTCAGTGGTCCACACATACAACTCCAGGATTGCAAATTGTAGTACCAAATATACATATGAGTGATATGCCATGTCAGTGGGCCTGGGTTCTCAAACTGACAGATATTCTTAATTAACATTGTGTTTACACTGACCTTTATGCTTTTTCATTTTAAGCATTATTTGAAATATTTTATGTTAAGGACTCTTCCAAACGCCAAACAGTAGTAAGTTCGGCACTTACTTCGTCAAGGAGTTTATATTTTACAGTAGCAATTTGAGTTTGAATAAGTTAAATTTGTATGATGATAAGTCATAATGAATTACAGTAACAACCAGGATGGGATGGATTAAAATAAAGAAGAAAGGAACATAAAGAGTTAAGAAATGTATGCACTGTTTAAACAAACCAGCAAACAAATGGTGAGTGAAACCACGCCCTTCTCTATTTATAGGCCAAGCAGGTCTTGTGCAAGAATGGAGTCTACAGTTTTTATCTAGGAGATGTATTCACAAATTAAACTACAGTTTCATTAATTTTCGACATATTTTATAGAACTATACGTCATTTTTTAAGGTAACAAAGTGTGCTATTTAAATATAACAATAAATTCTCTTACAGACTAACAAAAATGCTTTTACTACAGTCAACATGAACATAAACATCAGTAACGTTTGGATATAAACTGAAAGTTATTCCAGCAAAAGTAAAGAAATATCAGTGCTAACTCTTTGATTCTGAGATGGCATTGTTGCATCAGAGGAGCCCGGGAGAGGGTAGGTGACATTTGTACTTTATCAAATTTAGCGCATAAAAATACTGCTGTGAAAGATACACATGTCATATATAACATAAATATAAATGATTGATGGTTATTATTACTATTAGTAGACTACTACAACACATAATTATACTGTTATTTAATAATTAGTAAACAAGCACAGTCAATATTAAATTGATATGTGCAATAACTTTTCACCCAAAGCAGTTTTCTTAACAGTACTTATAACACTACTAAAAATTTATCCTCATGGTAAAAACAGCACAAATTAATTTGTCCAGTTTCATCTTATGGGATGAAATCAATTCCTTATCATTGCAAATTTGTTGGTAACTGTTTAAAAATACATCACACATATTTCTGAATACTGCATGCAACAAAGCGTATAAGTATCGTGAATGGTATATTATTTTAAAGGTAATTAAAGCAAATTAAAAAAGACCATATAACTGCAAATGCTGTGCAACCTACACTGGAACAAGACTAAAGCCCAGAATTCATTGAACAACCAAAAGTTTCTGCCAGAGTTTACAGCCAGTGTTCGCGAAGCAGAAGCCAATTTACAAAAATTAACACAGACCATACAACTGCAAATGTGCATAAGTAGATGAACAACCAGAAGTTTCTATCAGAGTTTACAGCCAGTGTTTGCGAAGCAGAAGCCAATTTACAAAAATTAACACAGACCATACAACTGCAAATATGCATAAGAAGTAGATGAACAACCAGAAGTTTCTGCCAGAGTTTACAGCCAGTGTTCGCGAAGCAGAAGCCAATTTACAAAAATTAGAGACGGCGTTGGTGAAACTAATCAACATATAGTGAGTTGACTGCTACTGAAAGAGTGAATTAAATCAGTTTTTCTTTTTCGTTGCCTAGTCTAAAGTAGACAATAAAATGTAAATTACTTTCTTCATTTCTTTAAACTCTATGATACAGTGTACATACATTAAACAAATATTGCCAAAATATGTAATTGTGAGAGGTTTTTTTTTTTTTTTTTTGGTCCAATATATTATGCGATAAATGATCATTTACTTTTTTAGTGCATTATTTATTGCATGCAAAATAAGTAATAAAAGCTTCTTTTTTTTTTCTTGTAAAAAGTTTGTTGTAAATGCGATTTTATTTTTATATTTGGTTGGAATTGGCAACGAAAAGTTTCTGCGGCATAAAGTAGCCAATCTCACACCAGCTCTCCTCCCTTTTCCTGCCCTTTACGACATGTTTAGTATGCTACAGTTAACTACTCTTTAATTATCTGGCCTCCGGGGGACAAGGGAGCAAATACGAGTATTGATCACCCATTCAATTTATTTGCTCTAACCTGATTGGGAACAACAACTGAAATTTTCACCTGGTCATTTGTTACTTTAAAAATTGGATCTTCGTCTTCGACATTCAGATCCGTTGAGTTTCACTGTTGCAAATATCGTCTACCGTAATTCATCTCTGCGACTGGCCTTCTCTCACCAGTGTTTGTTGGGTTGACTGTATATTATTTCTCCACAATATTCTTGGTCTGCCTCGTGGTCTACTCGTGGCTGTCTCTGTAAAGTTGGTTACGCCAAATGTCTGTGGGCCTGCGTGTATATTCTTTCCATCGACTTCTTGGTCTGCCTCATGCTCTATTGCCAATCAACTGTTTTGTCCATTCAAATCTATTCGAATTAGATTATCTGATATCTGTCTTCTGATGAAATGGAGGTTTTACAAAGCCCACGGTTCTAACCCAATCTCGAATAACTAAGAAGTGTTAAATAATCCTTTACATATGTATATAACTGGCTTACCTTATATTTGATCAGAAGCGAAATTTTTTGACCATAACATTATTGATTCCTCCCCACCCCCACCCACTCAATACGTTACAAAGCTGGCGGCTTCCGGTTTGTGCAGTTGATGTCATGGAGCAGTAGCTTTGATCTGATCAGCGCATTTATTATTTATGTCTTCAAAGAAGAGCCATTTTTAATCATAATATTGTTAAGCAGAGGGAAAACTGCAGCTGGGGGAGAATGGGGTAATGCGAAAAGACTAAGCATAAATTTTGATACTAAAGGAAAGCAATTTTTCTTCTGAAATTGTAAACCAGATTTGTTCCATTTTTATTTTATTTTTTAAAGTAGTAGCTAGTCTATTTTGCATTATTAGTTCCTCCATTCTTTGCTTATTTCTTCAAAACTTTACTCTTTAACGAGGCACTCCTACAGTGTCCTTTGAAAGTGAAACAAAAGCGCACTTGACCAATCACGTCAAATGGTACAAGGGTATAAACAATTGTGTCAAGTTTATTTTCAGTACACCTCTAATCACTTTTCTTTAAAAGGTTGAATACAATGCCAAAATGTAAGATATTGAGGCAACATTTCTAAAACATACGTACCAAAACATCGGACGTGGCAACAGAAGTACATTTTGGCTCGGCAAAGATCAAATAGTACCAAATGTGTACGGAAGTACCAGCTTCGGTAGCCCTGCTGAGAAAGAAATGAGATGAGCTACATATGGTGTCATTTGATAGGAAAGCTTGTCACGAGTTGGTAATCTGTGTTCTACAAGGAGGGTAAATTTTGTCAGAACAACTTTATCTTTAGAGTCGACTGACTCTCATTTAGTTGAGTTGGGATGAGCTAAGAAACGATAGCATAGCACTTGGGGCATTCCCTTTAGCTCTCCGTCCCCAGCTTCAGTCGAACCTCATTAAAATGGGCAGCATATTACTTTCCGAAACGGGATACAGAGATAGATGTCTCGTGCAGGGGGAACTTTTTGGGCTTCAATTTATTGTAGCTTGCCTAAATTTAAGTATTGGAAACAAATTTCAAACTAGACACACAGACAATTTGTATTCCCTTATGATTTTTCAAATATCTCACAAAATTTTTTTGAAGTCTCAGTTAGGTTTTCTTTTCTATTTACAAGGGCAGAAATATAAATTTATCTATACCCTTCATAAACGCGTGTCTTCTTCTGCTTTGCTTTCGGTTTCGTATACTGATCAGACCACTAGGTGGGTTGCCACAAGAACTCGCATGTCAGCAGCAGATCCTTCATGGTTCCCCATAGCTTGCTCTGCACACTTTACTCTTGAGACCAGGTTTCTTTTCGAAGTTGTAGTTAGAGTGGGCAGGTCAGCAGAATGTGCTCAGGTGTTTGTGGTCCTGTCTGACAGACACACTGTGGAAGCTGTACAGTCTTTATTTGATGCTAGTGGTAGTGGAGCCTGCACTGTCCTGTTCGTAGACAAAAAAAAAACACAAAAAAAATTGTTGTGTGTTGCCTTTTGTTGAGTCTGTTGATGTGGACTTTTGGATGTTTACTGTTGGTTTCTGCTCCTCACAATTCCTTGTATTTTCCCTTGATAAATGTTTTGATTTCTGGTAATGACAGTGAATGGGTATGTCGTTTCTCCTTTGTTCCATATTTTGCAAATCTGTCTGCTAACTTATTTCCTGGTATGCCGCAGTGAGCCGGGATCCACTGGAGAACGATCTGATTGTTTTCTGAGTCTTTTTAGCTGGCGGGTCAATTCTCTCTCCATGTTGTCTTGTGGATCCCTATGAGTTGCCTGGAAGACTGACATGCAGTCCCAAATGAAAAAAATTTTTTTTGCCTTTTTTAAATTTTTCTTTCCTCAAGCACTTTGGTTGCATCAATAATTGTTTGCTGCTCTGCTTTGAGGTTTGTTGAGTCTTCCTGAGGCGCATGATGTTTCTGCTGTGGTCCAATCTTGCAGTATGATGACCGATCCAGCTCCTCTATTTTCGCATTGAAACTCATTTCAACTTACAGGTATTGACAATGGTCTGATTTCTTTCCGACCATTCAAATAACCGAAACAGTTTTTTTTTTTTTTAATCTCTGAGGGGGGGGGGGGCGTCTCTTTTATGTTCCCATAGTAATGCTAACGGCTGAAACTATTCTGTATTCTTCTTGTCTGTAAATGTCAGCAAAGGCGAAGAAATAAGAGAAATGTCTAGACAACCACTTGTATCAACAGTTACAAAACAAAGAAAAGGTGATACGCGTGGCACGTACTGGAACGAAGCTGACATAAATTCACCACACAAACATTGAAATGAGACTTAGAAAACGATGACGTCCTAGAAAAAAAATTCAACAGACTTTCAGAAAATCACAGCAAAGTTTTCCCCGTGTAGGTTTGAATAAAGAAGATACAAACAATGGACTGCACAATTAATTACTTGGCATATTTCGCTGTATCTCGTCAGGTGCATTCTACAGTAACAATTACATAAATGAAGCAAATAAGTGAATCCTTTATAACAAGTACAAATTTAACAACAACCAAACGCAGCCGCCTGTTTTACTAGTGCTGCCGCTGTGCCAGAATCATGTGTTTACGGACGTTTACTAAGTTCAGGACGAAGGTAACTAATCGCGGCGGTTTCAAAAAATCTTACCGTTCTGTCATTGTCAGACACAAGCAGCAGTAGTGGTAGTGGTCGTGTTAGTGGCGCGTGGTAGTAACGTGCTGTTGTAGCAACAACAAAAACGTTTGAATCAACAGGAAATGTAAAAAAAAAAAAACTTTAAAAAACACCTTCTATTTCTATGCATGGTGCGGTGGGGGGGGGGGGTTGCTACCTTGCAATATTTTGGGAGATGGCGCTAAATTATCCTTACTCCCTTGGTACTCCCTGATAAAAATATAACTATTAACTAACAGGGGAAATAGACTTGTTTCCAGTGTGACGTATATCGTCACAACAGAATAATGATGATGATGTAATGTTGTTGCCAGCAAGCGTCCATCATTGGTTCTCTTCTGTGCCTTTTAATCACGGAGCTCTCCGCTCATTGAAAATAATATTGACTGCAAAGTCAACATGGCTACGGAATCTATTACTGACCTACGGGTGAAAATACACAACTCGTCTCATACTCGAGCCGCAGAGTTTGAGAAGAAAGCACACACTAAACAGAAATCATCCAGTTCCAACACGCAGAAAAAAAATATACCAAGGTCTAAATACGATGATTATAACACTGAGGAAAAGGAAGAAGAGCTGCAGAAAGTGATGTCGGGCATTCAGCAGCGTCGTTTGTTTACCGAAGATGAGTGTAAACATATCGAGAAGAAAATTGACAAGGTCGTCAAACTGGCCGATTTGGGGCTGTATAAAGAACACACGGTTGATAGGTGAGAGTTTTAGCGGTATTTTTGTCTTCAAGGTTATATTTCTGTTGGTGACCTTTGATCAGAAACTAAGTAACCCGGTCGGCCGTTAAGGTACTAAGTTACGAACTTACTGTTCCTTTATTTAATATTTATTTATTATTATATATTTATTTATTATTGGTGGCAACAGAAATAAAATAAAAAGGTATCTGATTAATTATCTATCATTTATAATTGTATTATTATGGAGACATGATAATGATATGAAACTAAATCGTAAATATGCGAAAAATTGCAGATTAGTTCCTAGAATACTGAATACCATCGATGGAGATTACAAAATATGGATATACTGCACGATCTGTAATGTAAATAAAAGAAACTTGCCCATAAACTGCCAAAAACTGAAAATTGTTGGAATTAAATGTGGCTTAAAATAAAAACAGCTAGGAGTTATACATATGGAAAGGGTCTCTCCTCCGAACTTCAACCCGATATTATGGCGGCCATAAAATATCCTTACGGGGCTCAGGCATATGTAAAATGCGGACTTTCTGCCAAGGAACAAATCGTGGCAAAACTAGGATTACTTGACAATTTCAAGAGACGCAACATTGCAGACGATAATAGCGACCGTTGACAATTTCGAGCGTTTCTGCAGACAATAGTAGCAGACGATAATAGCATGCGCAAAACGCGATCAAACTCACAGCCAAGCACGGCATGGATGGGGGGCTAAACTAGGCCTGGGACTCATGAGCAAATTAATTGGAGGAAGTTGCAGGAGGTGCGGTAGCTGCTGCTCATGAGTCCCAGCCATCTAGTTTAGCACCCATCCGCGATGAGGCATAGTCACAGAAACAGGTCCGTAAGTAACATATAGCTGAGACCCTGTTAGAGCATTTGTTTCATTACACGGAGCCAGCATATTTTTAATATAACTGAGCCCCGTAAGGATATTTTATGGCCACCATATTGGGTTGAAGTTTGGAGGAGAGCCTGGAAAGGCAAGACAAATTTGCAGTCAGGTTGTTACTGGTACCATCAAAATTGGAGCTCTGTGATAGCTGCTGAAGATGGGAGTGGAGCAGTTATGTGAATGTCCTGAGTGGTAGGATGTTGGCTGTTAACTTATTTCAACTTCTGGAAGACGAACCAGGAGTTGACCAACATGCTGTTGGACACAGGACATTAAGGACACCTTTGGCAGGAGTACTAGTTAAATAATCCAAAATTCAGCAAGTTGTGATGAAAGCAACATCAAAGTTAATAATGATTGCATTTTCAGTCTTGTGACAATGTTTCTTTATAGTTACACATACTTTTTTTGAAATTCCGATCTGTTGAGTTTCACTGTTGCAAATATCGTCTACCGTAATTCATCTCTGCGACTGGCCTTCTCTTTCCAGTGTTTGTTGGGTTGCCTATATATTATCTCTCCACATTATTCTTCGTCTGCCTCGTTATCTACTCGTGGCTGTCTCTGTAAGTCCAGTGGCATTGTCTTTTTCCACTTTTTGATTCTCACTCTCTCTGTCTCTCTTACTCATACACACACACACATATCCAGACACACACACACCTACCCACCCTATCTTTTTGTCATATAAAAAACTGAATAAAATAGTATGCAATATATAAAATAGCAAAGTATATACTGAAAATACAGTGGACTATATATATCAAATCTACGTTAATTGTTCTGTCATACCATTTAAATCCTTCTGTTCTTTGCATAATTTAGCATGGCATATTTGTAAATCTATCTACAGAGCTCCATTGAGAAACAAATATTTCTTCGGTGAAGGCTACACTTATGGAGCACAACTAGCAAAGAAAGGCCCAGGAAATGAGCGACTGTACAGCAAGGGAGATGTGGATGAAATCCCAAACTGGATACATAGATTAGTGATCCGCCCACTTTGTGATGCTGGTGTTATCCAGGAAGGTTTTGTCAATAGCGCGGTCATCAACGATTACAAGCCGGGAGGTTGTATAGTCTCGCACATTGACCCACCCCACATTTTTGAGAGGCCCATTGTCTCTGTGTCTTTCTTCAGTGAGAGTGCTCTCAGCTTTGGCTGCAAATTCACCTTTAAACCGATCCGTGTTTCCAAACCTGTTCTGACCTTGCCTATATCCCGGGGATGTGTCACTCTCCTCAGGTGTGTATAGGAATTTTAGTAACTTCATGTATTTCCTTGTGTTACTCTCCTCAGGCGTAAGTAGTAATGTTATGTGTTTCTGTATGTCACTCTCCTCTGATATACATATGATTTGGAATGTTTTCATGTGTTTATGTTTGTCCTCTTTCCTTTAGTACATGTAGGAAAAAATAATGACTGCTCTCCATATGGGTTCCGCGATCCTTTTGTGGGAAAAACAAGAACAGACCCACTACCTCCCCAACATGCATGTGGTAACAGTCAACTAACTGAAGGCTTCCTTCAAAGTTGGAGTGCATCTGCCGGAGAGGCAAGGAACTAATAGTCTGCATACAAGTAAGCAAGATCTGTAAAACAGATGCATGTGCATAACTCAGGTCGTGGAACAAAGCTGAAGTTCAGAAACAGACGAACAACCGGGTCTTTCCGTCGGGTTTACAGCCGGTGAATGCAAACAACAGTAATGACTGCATAGGTTTCTGTGTGTCCCTTTCCTTGAGAAGGTGTTGGAATTGACATACCAACTTCTGTTTGTATCCTTTTCCTCGTGTATCTGTAGGAATTAACTATTAAAGAACAAAGAAAACCAGAAGACAGTACAGATCCTATGTGTAACCTTGTGGAAATTTTTGTTAATTTAAAATCCATTGTTATTTTTTTTTCTACAAAGCCTGATATAAATTGCGGACAAGGGAAACTTTTTGTTTCTTATATGTTCAAAAACATACAGGACTGCAACCATGTATCTTCATCTTCCCCTTCTTCTTGATTAGTCCTGTAAATGTTGATATGTTATATGTGTATTTACTATAAAGCTATATACATGGGCCATCTGACAGACATCTTTGTTGAGACAGAATTTACTTGATCTCTTTAGCATATTACATTTGTTAACTCACTCTTGTCTAGAGTAGCATATTGTTTCAGCCTATTATGACTTGACCCTGTCAACCCATAGAGCCGGCATTTTTGGTTCTCTCTAGTTCCCAGATACCATTTAACTGACTTTTCTACAGTGATGTGTTTACAAAACACATAGTTAATGCTATTGGCAGTGTTCACACCTGTGCAAATGTTTGTGAGTTCAGCAAATGAAAAGACTGCTAAAAATTGTGTGGGGAAGGGGGGGGGGGGGGGGTTGTACCTTTGAATTTGAAGGAATTCCCAGGGGGTCACAGCCAGCTTTGTTTTTTTTCAGTACTTCTATGCCAACAGAGGTAAGTATGTATTATAATTAAAGTAATTCAGTTGCACTGGGTTTGATCTCAAAGGGTCAGGCTGTCTCTATAGAACAGCTAACAGCCTGCTAGGATCATCACCCAAAGCACAAACTCCATAGCTCCAGTGACAATCCCCAGGGATCTCATTAAAACTCATATTCATGAACCAAAGGATGCAGCAGTCCATGGAATGAATCTTATGCCTTTAGAGCACAAGGCAAACAGCCTAACCATAGCCACTGAGACCTTAAATATGTATCACTTTAAAGTACACTACTTAGAATAGAAAGAGATACAGTAATAAATGCCTAGGACAGAAAGTATCAACAGCTGAGAATGATCTTCTTCCTTCTGGCACATTTTATACCCTGTCTTTTATAGAAACATAATTTGTTGAAATCACCACTAATTACTGGCATCATTTCATGTATGGGCTCTGGAGCCCCATTTCGAGAGGAGAAAATAACGGACCCACTACCCCCTTAACAATCTTGACGCTCAAGCCGACTAGTTAGAGGTTTTTCATCAAAGTCGGAGTGTATCTGCCTGAGATGCGAGAAACCATCAGTCTGCAAACAAATAAGCCAGATTTGTAAAACACATGTGCATGCTAAACACAAGTGCTGGAACAAAACCAAAGTCCAGTAGTGGACGAACAACCAAAACTTTTCGCTGCAAAAGCAGCAGAAAAAGACTTGACATCATGAGAGCTAATAGACTGCAGTGGTTAGGGCAAATAGAGAGAATGGCCAAATACAATTAGACAAAGATTGCTTGCACAAAAGAGTTGAATGGGAGTAGACCACATGGCAGACCAAGAAGATGGGGGAGAGAGAGATAATATACAGGCAAACATACAGACACTTGGAGTCACCAATTGGAAAGAGAAAGCCAGCCACAGAGATGAATGGAGGCAAGTAATATCAGCAGCAGTTAACCTCAAGGGCTTGGAATGCTAAAGCAAAAAGTAGTTCAGGAAGGGTAAAGGTTCATCTTTGAATGTGTAGATTTTGTATTGTGTTTTCAGTGGGTATGCAGCAGATCATATCACACACTGTGTCCGGCCAGAGGATGTTGTGTCTCGTCGTGCGGTGATCATTCTCAGGAGGTTAGTTTTATTTCTGTCTGGCATTTACTTTTCAGGAGCTGTTGTAGAATATGGCCAGATGCCAGATTTTTTTAGTATGCTTAACCAATTTGATTTGATTCAAGAACCCACATCACAGCACTAGGGGCATTCTCATAAGCGCTCCGTCCCCATCTTCAGCAGCCAGCGAAGAGTTCCAATACTAATGGTGCCAGTAGCTTTCTGATTAAACGTCCGTCTTGCCTTTCCTCTGAGCCTTGAGCTTCTGCCAGAACCTCTCGTCACTCCCAACTGCATCAATCTCACCAGACTGTGGTGATTTATCTGCTCCTCCGCATTGTAAACGCTCTCCCACAAGGCACTATCCACGTCTGCCCTATCATGTAGCAGTATTCCACCAAGTTGTGCAGAGCCGGCCAGTCTGTCTGCCTGTTCATTTCTTAACACACCGGCGTGACCCGGTGAAAAAATCCAGACAATCCTCACTTGTGTCCTCCGCAGCGAAGCATGCCACTCTGCACAAAGCATACCTGTTCTGATCTTCCTCAGCATGCTTTCTGAATCAGTTACAATTACAATGTGTGTGTGTGGCGTGTTCTCTAGCCAGCGGAAAGCTGCAGTGACCGCCTCCACCTCCATTCTCAAGCTGGATGTTGGGGTATCATATGCTAGGCTCTCCTGCACCAAACGTTGAGCATTAACTTTTGCTTAAAAGCCCCAAGCACTTCTTTTGCCTCTTGACACTGAACCGTCTGTGTAAATGATCAAATCCTCTGAGCGAGCATTATCTGGAATTAATTGCTGAATTTCCACCTCTGTGGCACCTGCTGGCCAGTCTCTGCATTCCCGGCTCAGCATGATTATGACTTTACACAAGTCTGACTGCTCAGGTGGCACTTTGACCCACTCCTCTCCTCGCCTAATGTTCTCAAGGATGCAAACCTGTCTGATTGTGTCTTCTGCCTGAGCCATCCATGACTTCTCTCATATCAGCCGCTGACCCTTAACTGCATCCAGAGCTTCGTGCAAAGAGTGGTCTGTGTCTGCAGCTTAACCAATGTAAAAGATCAGAACAAATAATGCAATGATTGGGACTCAAAGGAGGAGACAGTTCCACAGCATGCATTGTTTTTTAATGGAAGAGTTAAAACAATGGAATTAATGGAGTTAAAACAGAGTACAGCTTATGGATAGGAAGAGTTGAAACAATAGAGTTTATGGAGTTAAAACAGAGTACAGCTTATGGATAGGAAGAGTTGAAACAATAGAGTTAATGGAGTTAAAGCAGAATAGAGCTTATGGGAGGACAGTTTTAAAACAGAGCAGAGTTTATAGAGTTGAAGAATAAACAAATAGAGCGAAGATTATGGAGTCAGGGATAAAAAGACAGAGCAGAGGTAGAGTTTTTGAAGGGATAGAGTTAAAACTGAACAGAGTTTATTGAAGGAATAGGTTGAAACACAGCGGTTTATAGAGTGAGAGGGTTTTAAAAATAAGTAGCAAAGTTAACGGAGTTAAAGAGTTAAAACAGATGGCAGAGTTTTAATAGACATGCACAATACTATATTAGTTGCATTGTTTCCGCAGGGTGAGAGATGATGCCCCGAGATTAGAACCAGATGCGGAGATCCCATCTCCTTCCAGAAAGCGAACAATGCTTTCCTCCAACAACAACCTGGCGCGCATTCAGAGCAGGCGTTCTTCCACAAGCTCCAGCAGCGATGAAAGCATTAAACCAGTCAAAGTCAGCTCCAAAGTCATCTGCCTGACTGATGAAAAGGATGGGAAACTAACTACTCCAGACTCACCTAAGACAATTAACAGATAGCCATATGCAGCTGTCAGAGTCAGCAAGTCAGTTTAACATAACCAGAGCCATTTATGAGCCACTAACACCAAAGTTGACAAATTGCAGTTTGATTTTAACGTTGTGGTGGGTTTGTTTTCTTTTGGTTTACATTCATTGTTTGGTTTTCTTTATTGCCATATTGACAGTAAAACTGTTTTGTTGATTTATTTTTTTTTAAAGGCAAATAATCTTCAGTCAGCCGCCAATTTACCTGATCTTCTTTTTTCTCCAGTTACCTAAATGAAATGTTGAGGGGAAGATGTAAAGAACCAGGTGTGCATTTTTCTAATGCATTGAATAAGTTGGTCTTCATTTCTTCCAATTTCTTCTTGATGCCATCATTCCATAATTTGCATGATCTTCCCCTTTTTCTGTGTTAAATATATTTTCTTAGCATCTGTGGCAGTTGGTAGAGCAGTTTAAGCAGAACGCTAGACCATCTTCTCATCTGTTGCTCTTTAACTCTTTGAGTCCCAAAAGATTTAGCATCACAGGCCCAAGGGGTAGTAAAGAGAGACACAAGATCAGGGCATCCTGCGTTCTTTGCGACTCAAAAAGTTAATGAATTGAATGACTGGTTCCTTGTCTTCTAATTTCTTCATCTTTTAATGGAATCTCTGCTTTTCACTCTGGCAGCTTTCTCATCACTTTTCTGATCTAGTTTTCTCATTTAAGAACCTTTAGCGTGTCAAAAATCATTTTCAACATGAATTGTTCTTGATGATAGTTTAGGCTGAACCTTATTTTGGCACTGCAGTTGTCTCGTGCTTTTAGAGACTGAAGTTAGAGATTGGAAGTGTTTCTGCAATGAAATACTTAACAAAAGTTGTTCATTATTTCTCAGCTTGTTATTTTTATGAGCAAGGCTTGTGCTACTAACATTGTTGTGGGTAGAAACTTGCAAGGGTTGTTGAGTTGTATGTCTGAGCTTGTTGAGTTTTTGTGTACGAAATTTTTAGGGTGCAAAAATTGTGTTTGAGTTATATGCAAGAGATTGAGTTAGGTGCAAGAGATTACTGAATAAAATTAAAAAAATTGCTGATGTGTGCAATATATTGTTGACTTGTGTGCAAGAGATTCTTGAGGTGTGTGCAAGAGATTGTTGTGTTGTATGCAAGAGATTGTTGTGTTGTATGCAAAAGACATTGAATTGTATACAGGAAATGTTGGAGTTGCATGCAAGACTTATTTATTGCATATTTATTCACTTTGTGCTTGATGTCTCTTAATTCCCATCGAAACCAATTCCCCCTATTATTATTATTCTTTGATATCCCCCCCCCCCCCAAATTTGCCTTTACTTTCAGGTTGACTCAGTCTGAAATGGTTATCAGGTAATGTCCTGAGAAGTAAAGGTGGCTAGCCTGATGCTAACCAAATCACCCTCCGAGTTCTGACTGGTCTTTAAAAAATATGAGTCTAGCATCATATGCTGATGTAAAAGGATCCTTGATTTTTGTCTTCATGGACATTGTGGTTTCAAAGATTTCAGCTTTGTATCTAAGATTTGGAAAGTAGATGTGCATGTGTCACACCTGGTAGTTGAGGAGAGGCTGGCCGAATGGTTAGAACATTAGGCTGTCATGCAGGAGACCCAGGTTCAGATCTTGGTAAGGAATTGAGTTTTTAACTGCTGGGGCAAAATAAGATTCCTAGCCTGAACAGTCTCTGGTGAGGTCATTAGCCGCAAATCGTCCGGCTCGGGGCCCCTCAAAAAAACCTTACAAATTAGAACCTGTGATGTGAAAATTATTGTGTACCCTCCAAGGTACAAAGATTGAAAAACACTGTAGTTAAATGACACTGGCAAGAAGACTTCATATGATGGGTGTGAACATTCTGTAACCAATGGGACAGCTAAGACATAAATTCCAGGATGGCTTGACCATATGAATGTTTTGTTTTTTCTTTGTGCCTGAAAGGAAAAAATTATGGCTGTCCTATTTTTACATTTCTACCTTTTTGCTATCATATACAGTCTTCGAGACGGGTATTATTTCTAAAATCACATTGCGTACCTTCGAAAAACTGTTTTGATCGGTGCATTTAAACATAAGCTTTAAACAGGAGACCTTACATTCTAACTACTTGTCTGCCTATCTCTCAGTGAATTTAAATCTATGAGAACCACCATGTGTAGTGTAGTGTATAAAGTTCAGTACATTACACTTGCTTAAGAATTATATTCATAGCATGATAGTATTTTTTAATAGAATGAGATTTACTCAAATATGGCTACATTACTTTATGGTTTACGGTTTGTTTTACTAATTAACTTTCCTTTATGCATTTTGTTTGCATAATTATTAAATAATTTAGTTATGGCTCTGTTAATATTTTGATTTTGTTTAATATAAATATGCATTGCTCCGTCAGTCATTATTCTTGAATTCAAATGTTAATATTTGTAATGGTGTCTCAACTCATAGCAACTAAGTAGAGGACTTTCAGTCTTTTGGCTTTATGCTCCTCGTCTCATATTTCTTGACACATCAAAACTCTATTGGGTTATGTCAGTATCATACCAACCGCCTTTACTTCCCACGACTTTTCCTGATATCCATTTTAAGGTGAATTTAAAATTCAAATTAATCAGGAACAAATCTGTGAAGAGCATGGCATGAGTCGGTTAACTCTTTCAGTCTCAGGATGATTCCAGAAAAAGTTGCCTGAAAGGAGCAGGAACTACAGCGAACATGGTCAGAATATTATTTTAAACTGCAGGCATCTGATGCATTGCAGTACAAATATTTTGCTAGATATCTCTAGTCAGCTCAGACTAAATTTAAAAAATGCATTACTCACCATGTGTTGTTTCATACACACAGATGTCGAACATGTGTGGTGCATTTTTTAGGACAGAAAGAGTTAAGGACTTGTGTTCCATCGGCTGATATATGACAAGGAAAAAAAAACAGATTTTTTGTTTGGCCATAACAAGGCAGTTGGCGCATGTTGTTGTTATTTGCAGATAGACTGTGATATCTATTTGTTTTGGCCCAAAACTTCAGATTTCTGCAAACCCTTTTGCATCGTTTTTTTCATAAGGAGCAGCGCAGTGGTTCCCCTTACCTACCCAAATAGAGTTCCATAATCCACACAGGGAGAGAGGAGTAGATATATCAGTTGTGCTCTAAAGAGACAAAAGAACTTGTATAGCCAATATGCTGAGGTAGAGAGCACTAACAGAAGTGCCAAATAACATTTATGTCATAAGTGTGTAGGGGGGGGGGGGAAGCATATTTCACCATGAAATTGTCACTCTTTGTATATATTTCTGTTTTCATCTTGACGAGATAGATATTCTGTTTATATCTAATGACCTGAAATTATCTTTGTCAGTCCCAAAGGCAGACTGGCCAAAACATAACTCTGAATAAGGCCATATGTTGAGATTGTTGTCGAAACATGTCCCAGAAAATGGACAGCTTAATCATTGTTATCCTGGGCTGCTTATTAAAAAAATGCTGGAAATGTTAATTCTTTGTTCAGTTGGGTCTGGCAAATTAATTGAACCATTAATCCATTGTATGTCTGTACAGAAAGTGTTAATATTTCTCCACACCATAGAGTTGGTAGAGGAAGGAACAAAGTGTGCTTAAACAAATGTTTCAACATTCTTATACAGTCTGGGGTTGAAATACAGACAGGTAATAAAAAGACCTATTTCTTCCTCTTTGAATTGTTTCATTTCTCCCCTTTCTTTGCATTTCTCTACACACTGGTGTGTAAAAGAAGGACAAGGGCATTGTGGTAGAACAAGACCCATGGCTGTGCTTAGTGTGTTAGCAATTCCCCTATACCTTGAGGTAAAAGGTAAAGAACAAAGACAGTTTAGTAAAACAAATGTATTCTTTTATACCTTGAGGTAAAAGGTAAAGAACAAAGACAGTTTAGTAAAACAAATGTTTTAGCATTCCTCTGTACTCTAGAAGAGGAAAAACAAGGACAGTGTGGTAAAACAAATGTCTTTGTATTCGTGTACATTGTAGAGTGGAAAATGAACAGCGTAATAAAACAAATGTTTTTGCATTCCTGTTCACTCTAAAATAGAAGATGTTAAAACAAATATTTTTGTAATTGTGTACTGTAGAGCGGAAGATGAATAACTAAGAATGCTGAAACAAAAGTTCTGGAGTAGAAGATGAAGAACAAAGACTGTGTGGTAAAACAGATGTCTTAATATTCTTATAAACTCTGGAGTAGAATATGAATAACAAAGACAGGGTGATAAAACAAATGTCTGGAGAAAAGAAAGAACAAATATATTGTGTTAAAACAAAACCTTAATTTGTGTCTTCGCAGTCTTCTCGCCCTGTGGTAACAGAAGAACAAGGACAGTATGGTGAAATAAGCAAATATTTTAGTACTTCTGTACATCTCCTGTAGAAGAGGAAAAATACAGATCTGCCAGGGCTACACTACAAGCACATATGCAGGCACAATCTGAAAGATACCAACATTGACACAGACACTTGGGAAAAGTCAGAACAACTCCTATGGAGGCAGACAGTGATAGATAGACTGTCGAGGACATGGTGTTAAAAAATATTGAAGCCCAGTGAGACAGGCAGCAAGATCTGTCTACTTCACCTTTCCACATGCTAGGGTAGGAGAGGAACCAGATAAATGGTAAGGAAGAAGAATATTCCTCGTACTGTGGCTTTCATTTGTTGAAATGGCAGTTGTGGTTCTGTTTTATTTTGCTTGGTTATATATTCAGGAGCTTCAGAAGATTGTGATACATTTCTGTATATAAAATCCTGTACAAATTTGTTCAAATCTCCGTATTTTATTTGTCTGTTGTTATAATATACATATAGTATACAGAAACTATGTTCTTATAGTTCTGTGTAGTAAATACTGTTTGTTCTGACCTGTTACAAATGCGTCTCCAAGTTCTGAAAGCAACAATTATCTTTGCATCTGAAACGAAAATAGAAATTTAAAATTTGAAATGGGAGTTTGAGAAAGAATTA